ATATGCTATCCAAATAGGTGTATGTATAGTATCTGGATAGTTTACGGCTATGTAGATATGGCACATAGCCGTAAACTTACGTCACATAACCCTATGTGTGACAAGTAGGTTAGAGCCCCAACCTATATGATAGTTAACGGACTTAGCGGACACACCGCTAAGTTCGCTAAGCCCAACTTAGCTCACATGTAAGCGTGACAAACACACATGTGGGGACACACGTCAAAAGCAAACGGCAAGTACGGCAAAACACGGAAAGTTCGGCAAGAGACAGGAAACACGTCCCCCTATATGTGTAGAAGTTGCAGAAACACCCTGTCAAGATTTAAATAGGAGAAGGTATATAGGGTTGCGCTCGCTAGCCCGAGCATTTTTTAACAATAACTTGTTCAATGAACTTTCCAAAAGGTTCCTTGCGCAAAATAGGCCTCCCTTCTGGTTCACATCGTTCGGCGTTGTTCATTCCATTTCGCAGATGTTCTTGTTTTGAAGAAAGAAGGATGGGAAGTACAAAACAAGAACACACTTGACTTGGTTCATGAGCTCTTCATACCCCCGAAACTGTATATACCTGCTGCATGTGCGTGTTTTTTGGAAGGTGTCCTTTTTGGGTGGGATGCAAAGGGTGCCGAAACGAAAGCTCATTTTAAATATAGCGGGCCCATGAAAAAAGAAGAAGACCCCATATCCCAACCATCAACTTCCCTTCCGGACCCCCGAAACCTATACATATAGATGTGTGTGTCTGATTTTTTTGGTGATGCTTTTTGGTGGTGGGGTTCTTTTTTACCAAACTGGGGCCCCCCTTTGAAAAAAAAACATACACCCTATCCGAACCCCGGCCACGCTCGTCCTGGCAAAGCGGGCGCTGCAGCGCGCCTGCCAGCTGCGGCAGCCTGCAGGCCGAGACACTATTATAAGGGCTTGATCAATATATACCCCGGCCCCCCAAATGACAATGGGTTGCTTTTTCCTATAGTGTGGGACACATCATCTTGCTAGTACTGACTTTGGGGAGGAGGGTTGGGTTTGTTCGTTCTTGCTGACAATGTTGCCAAATGCGCAAAAAGCATGAAACAGCTTCAAGGACAGAAATATGCATCATCTTAGCTTGCAGGCATTCTTGCAAAGAGCTGCGCAAAGCTTCAGGCGCAATCATGTGTCGTAGCATAGTATGCCCGTTGGCTTGCCCCATGCTGCTTGCAGCTTCAAAGACAAGCCAAAGTGCTAGCAAGATGGTCTGGCTTCCACGCAAAAGGCAACAACCGGCTGCAGAGACAAACATATATAGCAATCAGCTTGTAGGCATGCCGGTAACATGCTGCTCAAAGCTTCAGTGACTATCATGTGTCCTAGCATTGCTTGCTGACTGCGTTGCCAAATGCTGCACACAGCTGCAAAGACAATCCAGTATGCTGGCAAGATGGGCTAACAGCTTCAGAGACAAGTAAATGCATTTTCTTAGCTTGTAGGCATTCTTGCAGGGAGCTACACAAAGCTTCAGAGGCGATCATGGCTTGCCATATGCTGCTCGCAGCTGCAAAGACACTCATGGCGATTTGGGCAGCAACGCCAGCCGGCTTTGCTTGTGTTGCACTCCACAAGTCAGATAGGTGCAGTCTGGCGCCTTGTCTGGGCCCACTGCGTTACGCCGGATGTTTGTGGACAGGTGGCCTCTTCAATGATACCATCCTGCCATCCTGCCCTACTCTACCACCCTATCAACTAGGCCTGAGCACTCGTGGCGCTTAGCCACCAAACCATAAATCTAAAAAAGCCCAAGGCCGGTGATGTCCAAAGGGTGTTAGTTACTGGCAATACCAAAAGCCACAAAAGCCACAGCCAAAAAAAACAGCCTGCTGAGCCAAGAAGCCTGGATGCCAAGAAGCCAAAGAGTCCAGAAGCCAAAAAGTCCAGAAGCCAAGAAGCCAAGAAGCTAAGAAGCCAGACAAGGCAAACACCAGAAAACAACCTCTAAAAACCAGCCCTCCATCGGAAGGCCCTAAATGGGTGGCTCTCCTTTTTAACCTCAAAGATGGGTACCCTCACAAAAGACACCCAAATCTAGCTCGAGTTCTTTGGAAGGGAAGACCAGTTCCAAAGGCCGGCAGGTTCTGTCTTGGCCATCTGTACGCCGAAAATCCGATTCAGCTTCCGGAAAAAAAGAAGAAGAGAAAAACACATGGCAGTTTGGATGTGTTCCGGGATGGTGTCCCATTTACCCTCAAGAACCAGGAGTTCAAATCCCACCAAAACAACAAAACTAAGGGTTACCTGAATTATGTTTCATATTCAGTCGTGCCTAAATTATCAACGAATGTTGGAGGAGATGCAAAGAAGGTGGGACTTCCACCTCCAGCCCCCAGCACCCTCCCAATGCCAGCGATGTCCCGTGCTCAATGCCAGGTGCTGTCCAAAAAGCAGCCATGGGAGTTGTTCAAACCGGGGAAATAGGTAAGAAGCCCGTACTGGATAGCTTTTGGTTTGGGGCTCCGGGAATCTGCAAAGTAAGGGTCCCCATTTTCTGAGCATGAGCGAAGTCAGACGTGAACCCAGCGTTTGCATCCAAAAGGAGGGGGGAACTCTCGTGTTCAAGTCTTCACTGATCCGCTAAATCATCGGACCTTGCTAAGTAACGGGGTGAGTCCAAAAGACCCTTTCAGAAGGAAATAGCCTTGAAACAAAGTAAAACACCGAGGATGTGAAACACACACATCAAACCATGGAACTAGTTGGGATTTGTTGGTGCTCCCCAACGAGAACCGCTCAAAGCCCTTTAAGAGTCTTGGTGCCCCTTTGATTGGTTGACTTACCGCCCGCTTTCGGATTAAGAACAACTGCAAGCACGGAAAACTTCCGACAAAGGTGTTTGGTCGTCTTTTGACACCAAGGGACTGAGGAAGGACCAGGGAGCGCCCCCCCGGTTCCGAAATGGGACACGCCCTGCCTTTGCTTGGACGTGCGGAGGCATCTAGGGGAAAACTTGTGGGTCTCTGGTTTGCACAACAAGGTCACCCATGTTCAGAAAGGAAACCAACAATTCACACACTTGAGAAAATTAATCCAAGGAAGAACCTTTATGGGGGTTCGGTTGGAAATCACCACTTGTGAACGCTATCTGCCAAAATGTCATGCCAACTGCTAAAATAAGGAAGTCTCCAAAAAACACCTTTGGAGACTAATGATTGCAATGTCGTATACACCTAGCAACATCGAGCACGGCAAAGTCTCTATCCCCAAAAAACATGCGTGCAGTGACGTTTGGGAACTGACGAGCCACCTTTTCCCAGGCTCTCCATTTTGGATAATGCCTATAAGGCGAGGTAAAAAGAAACCCATTCTCAAAGTCACCCCAACCCGTGGTAGGCTGATAGGAAACCAACAACTCTGATATTGGCCACCTCCCAAGAGCCCAAATAGTGGGTGTTCAACATGGCGCTTGGAATCGCCAACAGTTCCCAGTCTCTCTTGGCTTGGTTTCGGAGACTTTGCACGATCTTTCAGTCTTTCCACGAGTACACCCTGGCTGCCCCGGATCTCTGAGTCTGCCACGCTGATACTCCATTCCCCAAACTCGGCAGACACCTGCGGGAATGCTCAGGCAGAAACTGGTCGGGATTTCGGTGAGCACCAGCTTCACATGTGGGTCAAACATAGGTACCCACAATGGAACCTGAGTAAATGGAAACATGGACTAAAACCGGCAGTCCCCTAGTGGTTTAATTGTGACCCACACCCACCGCACCCACGTGGCAATGTTCCCCTGAAGATTTACTGTTGCTGGTGTCGACCTGCACTCCAAACCGCGGCGCGCGTCTTTGTTCAGGCTCAACCTCCAGCGACGCCACCTACTTGGTGGGTTCATGCATCTTGTTTCTCTTTGTTCTCAGCTAGAACCTCGAGAATCATAAAATACGATTGTCTGCACGTCCTCGGGGAATTGTAGAACTTTTGGGGGTGGATGGGCCCCATACAGTGTGACGCGGGCGGATGTGTAAAAAACATAGAAGGGTGCCCATGCGAGCCTACGCCGCAACAAGCGCCTACTCGGAGTGCCTACGCAGACTTTTCTCGGGCGCTCCCCTCTTAGTGCGTGTACGCCAAAACATGCCTACGCAAACCTGCCTACGTATGAGTTTCTTGAACAACCTACACAGACTGCCCACACACTCGTTTTCCCGGCAGAATTGCCTACACGATGCCTCTGCGGCGTAAAAGAGTTCCCCCTCCCCCAAGCGAATACATAGCAAGAAACTCTGCTCAAATGATGTGTGAGCTTTGGCTGAATCCGAGAACCAAATCAGAGGATTTCTTCCAAAATGAATCAACCAGCACAACCGAATGAGGAACCAATCCAAAATTGACAAAGAGTCGCCACTGTTTGCCAGTCCGGCAGAAATTGATCTTTTGGTTAGTGCACACTTGCCACACACCCGAGCCTAAAACCAACAACATGTCAGCCTGCAACCAACCTTGGCTGTATGTCTGGCAGTGGGACACTTTTTGCGAACCTGGGAGATGTTTGCCAAGGGAACTCCGAGATGCAGCTGAGCTACAACGGTAGAGGTTACAACAGCAGGCCAAACGGCTATCAAATTGCCATGGGTCAATATCCCGAACCCTCAGTGAACATCCCAATCCCCACTGAAATAGACTGAAATGGGTGGTGCACCTACCCCAAAATGGTACCAAAACGGTTTTGACCCACAGCCATTTGGCGGCCCTTGCAAAGCCAGGGGTGTGGGGTGGCACAGTACAGTTCAGATGCAACAGTCGAGACGGCCCGTGGGAACCTTGGAAACATGGTGGGAAAACCTAGGAAAATGGTGGGAACGCAGTGAGAGAACTGGGAACCTTGGGAACCTTGTGGGAAACCTTTTGGGAAACCTTTTGGGAAACCTTGGGAAAATTTGGTAAAAATTGGGAAGCATTGGGAAACCTTGCAAACCCCTGATAGCCTTGGGAACCCACTGACAAAGATCTCAGACTTTGGGGACTTTTCAGCGCACCACGGCCTGAGACTCCTGGAGGTTGCTCAACTCCTCGGACTGGTCGAAGGGGATGTAGACCTTCACCTCCTCGTCCGTCTGCTGCCAGGCATAGCTTAGCCTGAAGCTTTGGTTCACAGAGATGAGACCTGGATCTTGACACAAAAAGCATGGCATAGTCCCCTATACCCTCCCTGGCTTGCATGGCCTTGCCAAGTTCTGGCTGGCCTTGCCTCTGCCAAATATTTAACTGCTTTACAAAGCACACACTGCTTCTTGCCCGGTGTAATACAGGTAAGAGTGCGCGTGTAATGAGACCTGGATCACCAGAAAGCTAAAGTCTGGCAATCCCTTCGCTAGCTTTCTTTGGAAACACCTAACAAAAAAAAAGGCGATCAGATGGCTTTGTGCGACCTTCTTTGGGGGGAGGGGCGGGGGGAGGCTGGTATCTAACTTGTTTCTGAATGAGGGCAACATGACTTCTGATACCAGAAATCAACCTCACCTCATGGCCTGCCATTCGACACAGCCCAGCTGCCCGGCATACCTGACACCTATATACCAAGCGACTGCATGCAAACACCCCACCCCACCCCCTTCAAAATGGAATTGGGGGAGGGAGGGGGAACCTCAGTTTTTCCTTCTGGGGAACTCGAAAACTGAAACAGGAACACCCCACTCTCCCACCGCAGGTAGGCCATGTTGACACTTTCTAGGCCCCTAGGTGTTGTCAAATACAGAAACAGTGCTTATCCTTGAACCTGCTACCTTTTGAAGCCTGACTTTGACTATGGTATTGTTTGAGGCCGGCAAAAACGAACTGACAGCATGGTCAACAGACTGGGCTTCATCTTTAAGTAAAACTAATTACTGGGAATTCCCATCGTATCAAAGAAGTGTCAAGGCAACTCAAAGCTGGACAGTGGAAAACCGGTTCGCCACAGCGGATTCCGAGTTTACGCCCACATGGTGCGATAAACATGGACACGGTTGTGCGCTTGCGCTTGCGACACATTTGATCCGAATGCCCAGTGGTAAAAGAAGCGCATTCTGCGACTTGCCACCTAGGAGCCAAACAGCAAGTTGAATGTATCCTGCTTGCACCAGCTGGGGTGGATACATAGAGGAATTAATGAAACAGTTTGGCAGTTTCGGGCTGAAACTGCCTCCGACTGAATCAGTTTCGGTGTCTTTCGTTGATGGCTCTCGGGCTGATTAATCGAATTGTTGTTTGGGCCCCCAGGCCAAGCCATCCACGTTTGCATGTCCCCACCTCCGCTTCCCTCCACTGAAACCAAACAAAGCAACGCACACGCACTCGCACTCGCACCCACACCCACACCCTCACCCACCCACCCTCACCCACCCACCCTCCAACCCACCATCCAACCCACCATCCAACCCACCCTCCAACCCACCACACACTCACACACACACTCACACACCCGCACGCGCTCTTTGATGCTGAGCCCATATTTAGTGAACCATAAGATGTCAAAGGGTGCAGGAATCCCAGTTTCCAAACATTTCCAAACAAGCTTTGCTGGAACCCAAGGGATTCTCTTTCCACCAATCATGGAAGCCAGGACGGTTGTGGACCCCATAATCATGCAATAACTCCAACATCTGAAAGACAGGAATCCTTTCGGCAAAGGACCTACATGGCGCATCGGCAGATCATTGGAATTTTGGCCGAAGCGCTCCCGGACCTGGGTCTCAAACTTCTTCGCCTCGTCCGGCACCAGAAGCGGATCGATGGGAGCCTGATCACGCGATTCATTTCCTGCAAATGGCTGTGGGTCAAAAATAGGGTAAGCCCCAAAATGGGACCCTGGCAAATGGAAAAGTAGACTAAAACCTGCGGTCCCCGAGTGACTTAATTCTGACCCATACCCAAATTAAAAGGGGGGAGTTGGCCAAATCGCCTTGGGCATACCAAAGAGGGCTCCTAATTCTGACAACTTTGCACCTGGAACCCCAAAACCCGCGGCTTCTCGAGGAATCTTCTTTTGGGAACCCGCCCATTTCCAGTTCCGTGATAACTTCCAATGGTTGTTCGCCGTGTACCCCTTTATAACCCAGGTTTAGGCACTCACTTTCGGGCGTGCCCCTAAATGGATAAGTAGGACTTTAGCAAGGATCCTTCGATCCGACTTTCCTGGCGTCGTTTTGCAGGTCTCCATTTGGACTCCGCGACCAAACCGAATAAACTCCAAAGCACGCACGCGCGCACGCGCACATGAGGGACCCCTTTCAATTACCCCCTTGAAGGGGAAGGGGATGGGGGTGATTGAGTCCCCCATGTCGAGTCATTTGTTCTTGACCCTCAAAGACCAAGGCTGCGGGATGCCACAAACAGCAACCAGGGTTGAAATCAGCATTTTGAAAAGGCCTCTAGTGTTCATGCCTTGGATGCAACGGCTTCAAACAAAATGAGGGATGCATGTTACATGGTTCAAGGGGCAACCAAAATAACACCAACGCTCCCATTTTGAGGCATACTCATATCTGTTGGTGCATTCTACTTTGACACATTCAAAACACCTGGTTGTTTTACGGTACATCTCGCTGTGCCAGCAAAACTGTCTCTCCCGTCTAATGCGGCATCCCATTTCCCATTGCCTCCTCCTCCTTCTCCTCCTTCTCATCCTTCTTCTCCTGCGGCTGCTTGGCCTCCTCCTTCTTTTCCTCCACTTTCTCCTCCTTCTCCTCCTCCGTCTCCTCCTTCTTTTCCACTGCTTTCTCCTCCTTGGCCAGGCGTGGCGTGACTACTAATTGCGGCAGGGCATCGTTGCTGCCGAAGCTGTTGATCTGTACGCTGCTGTTGGACGCTGCTAGTGCGTTCAAGGTTGCTTCCATTTGGTCAAGACCCCTGGAAAAAAAAATCCAGTAGTGATAGATTTCCTTTAAAACCAACAGGGGAAAGCAAAAATGGTCTTAAGCAAATGGAAGGTTGAGTTGTTGTGTCATGTCTTCACACTCACGCTCCCAGTTGTCAAGCACCTCTATGTTAACACCCAAATGAAGTTCGTCCTTTCTGGGCTCCATGCCGGTGTATTCTTGTATCATCAAGATCGAGTACCACATAGAGGCATCATAGAAAAAACTGGTCTCAAACAACTAGAAACTTGGCCATCCCCCTCCGAGCCTCTGTCTTCTGTTTTGACAACTCGCGCCATATCGGGTTTTTACATAGCAAGGCGAAAGGCGAAAGTAGATGACAAGTCCCAGTCTGGCGGGTAACGGGGCTGCTTGAAACCCAAGCGGACTTGTGCCATCTAACCACGGAAGTGGAGGGGCCGGTTCAAGAGAATAGTCGTTCAAAACCGCTGCTGTCCACTTCCATGCTGAAAAGAGGCTACGTTCACCCAACTGTAGCCCAAAAAGCCAGCGGCCATGGGGAAGAAGCTCGCTCCATTGAGGTACTTGAGTCTCAAGGGAAGTACTCCCTCCCCTCCACTCCGCTCCCCACCAACCAAAAAGAGGAAAACAACAGCGGAAAACCCCTCCCCCCAAACCAAAAAGAACATAGAATAACGAAAATAAAGAAAAGAACACATAATACCTGGAGTTATCTATGTAAAAAAATTAAAAATCAACCTATGACACAAACAAAGGAAACTCCTCTCCCCGCACAAAAAAGACCAGGAAAACAAGGGCACCACAGGGTGTCTCGGGTACCCCCCCCAACGCCCACCACTGGGTCCTTTGCCTGGGCCTCGCCAGCCGGAGCCTGGCCGTCACAACCCTTGGTATGGGCTTGCAAAGAACTTTGCTTCTTGTTTATTTATGTGTTTATTTTTTTTATTTTAAAAAAGAAAAGAACAAAACAAAAAACAACTGCAACAAAACAAAAAACAAAAGAACAGAACCAAAAAAACAAAGAACAACTACAAGCAGAATGACCAAGAACAGTAAGAAGGTACTTCATGACAAGAACTTCTGTATCCATCTCAAACACATTCATTTACAGCTCATACGGTAGCTCCCCCAACTGGCCAAACCACCGAAGCACCTACATATCTCGAAGTGAGCGGAAGCATGTGATGGCCAAAACAAACCACTCTGTATTGAACACTTGGGCAACTGGCGAGAGTTTCCCACTACAGCTCCACCTAGCTCTCCTGGCAAAGCAAGTTCAAACTACAGCTACTTAACCCATGCCATCACAACCGAAACCATTTACAGGAAACCCCGGGTGCGAAATCATGTATCCTTTCTACCCGACCCCTGCTTCGTGCCAGTGAGTGGAGTGACTAAGTGGAGTGAGTGAGTGGAGTGAGCGTGTGCCGCCAGTGAGTGGAGCGGAGGGAAGCAGAGCGGTGCGGTGCGGGTGGGGTTGGGGTTTGGGTTGGGGCTTGGGTTGGAGTTGGGTGGGGTGGGTGGGTGCGTGAGTGTGTCAAAACGCTAACTATTCTGTGGCACACATATATCAGGGATTGAACACACACGCACACAAACCCTGGATTCCACAAGTTTCACCGCGGTTTCCCTTTGATACTCTGCTAGTACTCTCATCAAGTATCCCTCTCTTGGATCAAGTAGACAAAGCAGCAACACCCCCAATTGCCTAAGGTGTCAAGGTGTCACTGAACAATGAAAACAACACCAAACATGATAACGCATATAGGATAAAAGGCATGCCCTCTCAGCCATTGTCTCAGTTTAAGATGGCTTTCCCGCACCAACCTTATCGGGGTTATGTTAGGTGGCTCCTACTTTTGTCCGTGCTCTGTCCCTTTTGACATCTAGGAATCCAGGAGACTCTGACTGGGCCGTGGTCTTTCGGTTTAGCTCTCCCCCAAGCCCCGGTTCCCTTTGGATTCGAATCAACCGCAGCAACGGGTCCATTGTAAGTGACTTAAGAAGCACCATACATCCCCTGCAAAGGGTCATTTCAGCTGTACTCTCAAAACACTTCCCTTTTGCCCAATTGAAGTGGACAGAAGGGCTTTCAAAGGCTTCCAAAACACAAAGCCCTCCCAGTGAGCGGCGGGCAACATGACCTATCGCTGATTTGGGTAGGCCCCCTGGTGTTGTAAGGAACCACAGAAAACATCAGCAAAACTGGGTAGGACCCCCCACGTCCTCCCCAAATCAACCATAGGCTGTTATCACGATGAACTAGCATAGCGCCAGCAATGCAATTCATTCCTTGAATACAACCAAGTCTGTGGTTCTTCGAAATAGAAGGACCCCTCTCCATTGTCTAGACTTCAAGCTTGGCTGCTGTTCTTCTCCCTCACGAGCCAACCCCACACACACATGTTTGGGGACTCGCAAGGTCACAAATGCAAAGGTGAACATGAAGCCCAACCAGCAAATTGTATGTTCAACTCTCCTGCCTCTAACTCATGGCACACTTTCTTGAAACTGTGGCGGTAGTCGTCCAACAGCCTGCTGTGCACATGCTTATTAAACAGTAGGTACCTTTAATGGCGGTGAACCAGTGGAGAGCCCAACACCTCTTTCCAGTTTTGAGGAACACCAAAAGGCCAAATGGGTTTTCAGCGGCTACCGAAGGCCACTCTGGACGTCCGCCTCAAAGATGCCTCCGAAGGCTTTCTCGGCGTCGCCCCGGCGCATGCTGCGCCGCACCTCTGCGAGCGAAAAATAGCGCCGGGTCTGGGGGGTCTGGGGGTCGAGGACCTCGAGGACCCCTTCCCCCCCCCCCCCGCTGTGGTGGACGCGACTGATTGTTGTTAACCAGCTTCAGGGCATTGGCCTGAAACGAAACAAACTAAGAGCGGTGGTCCATCCTCCCTCAAGGCTCACCTTCTGAATCCCGCGATTCAGAAAATTCATCGACAAGTGGCCGCACCGCCCACGTTTCAAACCGTCGAACGGCTCCAAAAAGAAGCAGTTGATAGCACATCTCAAAATTTGCTGAAGCCTCCTGGAACAAAATGAACATATGTCCAGTAGTGATAGATTCCCTTTAAAACCATCAAGGGAAAAAACAAACATCTTAGTAAGCAAATGGAAGATCATAGCGTGGGCAGTGACCTTTGGAAGCGAATGATTCTCTTCCAACCCCCCCCCACCAAGGCCTTGATCCATACCGTTTTGGACATCCCACCAGCAAACTCACCTTTCGGCTTCTCCAAACAGGTGATGTGGAAAACCTCCACCCTTCTCCAGGTGTTTTTAATAATTTTCATCTGTTCATAATTTTCATCTTTTCATAAGTTTCCCTCTCACCAATTAACCTGGAACCTGACCTTTCGGTGGGTTCTGGTTTGGACCATATTCCTTTTAAAGGGACCTTCCCAGTTCCATGTTCAAAGAAGGTGAAAGGGGAACCTGCGAACAAAACAACAAAATCTTCGGCGGCCTCCTTTTTTCGCCACCCCCCCCCCTTCCACCCCCTCCCCCCCACCTCCCCCCCCCTCTACCTCCCCCCCCCTCACCCGCATCCGAAGGCATCCGCGCGCGTCCGTGACTTGCGCCTGGTGGATCTGCTGCTGGATGGCCTGGTCCTTGGGCTCCAGCGCCCCGGCGCGGTCCAGGTCCGCCCCGGCGTCGCCTCGAGACAAACTCCTGCGCCCTCCGAGGCGGCGAGAAAGGTGGCGCGCGGTGCGTCGCGTTGCCCGCCATGGGAGGTGGAAACTCCCCCCCCCCCCAAAAAAAAAAACAGAAAGGAGGTAATTAAACCAAAAAACAAAGGAACCACCCAAAACCACACAGAAAGGAGGTAAAAAAAAAGGTTTTGAATCGCCGTGATTTTGAAACAAGGTTGAATCGCCCCATGGTTTAACTCAGAAGCGCCCATGGGAAAAAAAACGCACCCATTTTTTGGTTGGTTGACTTTAAAGGGGAGCCCCTCCCCAAAGGGAAGAAAGGGCACCACTGGGCTGGGTTTAGCAAGGTGGTGTTGCACTGCCTCTGGCCTCCAGGCGGCCTCTGAGCCTTTTTCTTTGGGCTAGGCACTCCAGTCCCATGGATCGAGAGCGACCAAACATGGCTATTGGGTAAACCTGAACATGCCAAGTCTCAACAGAGATCCAAGAGTTTTTATGTACTAGAACATAGACAGCAAGATAGATGGATAGATGTAAGCATCAAAACAGAACATCAGACTGACCCCACAAGAATTCTGACACCAAGAGGGGTGTAGATCCCATGAAGTCAGCTCAAGGAGCTGAAATTCCTCAGCTCCACATAGGCCTGCGCCCGCCGGAAGTAGGCCTCCGGATGGGGATGGGATCGCTATGGATCCATCGCGGGTGTGCGAGTGTGCGATGGTTTTATCGGGGTTTGGAACTTACACTGGTGGGCTTGGTCCGAAAATTGGGGAGGGGGGCGGTGGGCTGAGGTGGCTGGTAAATGGAATGAACCCGAAATCTAAACCAATCCAGTGGTTTCTTGTATTTTTTTGACCAAGCTAACCTAAGAAGGACACCTCTGCCGGTGGGGTTGGTCCAAAAACTGTGAGATTTTGTTTTGGGGGGGGGGGTGGTGAGGGAACGAAACTTTCCAAGGGGTCACCGTGCGGGTTGGTCTCAACGGGGGGGCCAAACCCACCAAGGAGTCACTTCCTCTACGCGCAACATGACTCCGGGGTCCCATGACTCGGTACTCCTCCCATGACTTAGCCGGAAGCCGAGAAAACGAATCTTACCTGCCCAGTGGTGTCCCATAAAAAACAAAAGTCTCCGGCCCCAGTTTCGTGTTGTCGAATTATCGATGCTGAAGAGACCCCCCCCCCCTGAGCCCCCCCCCCCAGGCCCCCCCCCTTCCCTTAAACAAGTCTCAAAGAGCACGCACGAGTCCATCCTCTGAAAAATGCGACTCGCCACGCCTTGGCGTGAGGACCAAAGTCCAGCGCTGCGGTGCAGGCATCCACGCACTTTTGGTTCTCCCCCAGCTTCAGGTAGCATGCCTAACCGGCCGGCGTGAGTAGCCTTAAGGGTGACAAAAACCATCGATGTTGGGCTTCCTCATAGGTTTACAATGGCGGTCCGCTGAACATGCGACCTGGCTACAGAATATTCCCTGAAGTGAGCTCACAGGCAGGGCCCAAATTCATGTCAAACCTGAGTTGCCCAGGCTGATTCGTGACGCGTGGCTCGCCTATCCCAACTGCTGTCCCAGTGCACTCTCGCAACAAACAAGGCGCCCAAGTTCTACTCCTAACCCAGTCAAAACAAGACTGCAACTGCTCGACACCTGTGCAAGCAGCAGCAAAGCTGCATTGATAGATGACGTATAAGAAGCAGATGGGACCAAACAGTGAAGTCGAAGTGATGCCCTGTTGTAGGACACACCCAACTTGCCCACAAGCGCAGCTGCCAGGTTTCTATTTTTTGGATATAACAATTCCTTTGTGTGCGTACCCTCCCACATACTGGAAATGCACAAACCCATTTTGGGAAACCGCCCTTGATAGTCCCAACATCTGCGCTGGCGGCTTTTGGGCAACCCTTGCGACCCGCCGTTGCTTTTGGATCGGAGCGTCCGCCATGTTCAGGCGAGTGGTCTGCTTCAAGCGCTTCACCTAGTCAGGGCTTCAAGTTTCACAAGATGATTTCCCCAAAGGACTGCCCTGGTGCAATTCCTGTGCACCAATGGTTTGGTGCTCCTGTTCACCCAAAACCTCACCAGTTGGAAAGGCCCCAAAGTAAGCCCTGGAGGTAACCAGGTGACCAAAACTAGGGCGAACTTGAAGGGTTGTCTCTAGCTGGTTTCTTAGCATGGGCTTGCTGATCAGATAGTTCAGTGTGCGATGTGTTGGTATGTGCTAAAGGGGGGCACAAGGGGGGCACCCCTTCGGATGTATGCCTGCGGTTGCTTAGATGCAGATCTTTGATCAGATACTCCAAGAGTGTCGGTGGTTGTTGGTATGAAAAGGGGTGTGGTGCTAACGGGGGACCCCTCGGATGCTGAAGGGAAACCAGAAGGCATCCTGCTCAGCAGGGGAATGAGGGAATGACCCTTGTAAACATTCCAACTGATGGCTTCCTTATTTCCTTTAAGGGAGTCCCTGGGTGCATTCCATTCCCTTCTGAGCACCAGCAAGTATTCGGGGTTGCCATTTTTTTGTTGGGGACGTTGCAAAAACCATGATACCTCTTCAACCCCTGGAGGTCTCGCTCCGGATGCTTTCCTTCCATTTGCCGAAATGAATATGTGTTTCTATTTTCCCCCGTTGGTTTTACAGGGAATCTATCACTGCTGGACATGTGTTCGCGTGTTTTTTTTCTCCCAGGGGGCGAAAAAGGTAAATGGAAGTTTCCTATAAAACCTCTTGGTTGCCCGATCCAGAAGGCCCCGGCGGCCGCGAATTCGGCGCCACGCCTCTTCCACCTTCTCTGCGGGGATGTGATTCTCCGCGGGCTTGGCCACATCCTGCGAGGTCGTGTTTCTTCCTTCTTTTTCCAGGTGCCGTTCGCGAAGTTGCGAGTTGAGTTGATAAAACCAAGAGATTCACTCTCTGCAACTGCTGGTTTGGATTTGTTGATTTTTGGTGACCAAATGTCGATGTGGACCCGGGCCCCTTTTTTTAGTGGTCGTCACAAGACAACAGGTCGAAAACCGTGTGCTAGCTGTCGGGGGTGGTTCCCTCGCCATTGTTGCGACGGTTCTCCTTAATCCTCCCCCCCTAATCATAAAACGCCCCCCCCCCCCCGCCCCGCCGCTAATTTAAAAAAGTCCCTGCCAGCAAAACATGTTTTATTGTTAGGGGTCCCTTTGCTCCGGAGGGAAGGTTTTGGAGGTACCTCTTGTTGTTTGTAAGCTTGTCTGCAACTGTGGTCCCCCTGTTCCGGTCCGGAAAATCGCATCAAACGTACATTTCCGAGTAAGGAGTTTAAGTAGCGGGAGTTGAGGTCATGCTTTGATTCTTTGGTTGACGCAACTTTGTAGTACAGCCCTAGCAAAGGAAAGTCGCAACTTTGTAGTACAGCCGTAGTAAAGGAAACGTGCCTTCGGGTCCTTCTAATGCTGGATTTGAGTACGGCCAGCTTTAGAATTTGTGTATTGGCTATTCTAAACGTATGCCCGGATTTGGGACTTTGGACACAATTGTTGGGAGACCTTTACTCATAGGGGGAACGGATTTTTCACTTTTCGAGCGACCTGGTTCTGCGGCGCCACCAGGCCGTTGACGAAGCAAAAGACCTTGTGGTAGCAGCCCAGGGCCTTTCGGTAGTTACCTCAGCTGACAAATGGTGGCTCAACAAGATGTACCCAAAATGGCTCCTTGAGAAATGCAAACAAAGACCAAAACCTGCGCAACCCCAGCTTTTTTACTTTTGACACCCAAATGGCTTCGGACCCGGCTGCCGCAGGGGACGCTGGCACTTTCCTCCCATGGGGATACGAGGGTATCCCAAAGTTTGAGCGACGCTCCTCGCTTCACCTGAGAAGAAAGAAGTCGGCTGAAAGAGCAAGCCAGGTCCGACTGAAACTGACGACCTCATAGCATTCTACTGCGTCTGTTGCCGCCCTCTGCGGGGGCATATGTGATGAAAATTCACGCCTGTGTCCAATAAAGTAATTAGGCTTAAAAGGACAGCACTGCGAGAAGTTCCCCTTCAACTGGGCTCACAGACGAAATCTTCACTTAGAGGAGCGTTAACGGATCCCCGGTGTCACAGAAGTGGCTCACCACCCACTGGATTTCCACTTCCATAGTTCCATTTTGCTGTTGGGTGCCAATGAAATTCCCACTTACCACAACAACTGCTTCTTGCACACTTGGTGTTTTGGAGCCAAAACCACGTCGTTGGATGTTGCAAGGTCCAAAACGAGATAAATGAGCATACATGTCTGTTGCGGGTACCCTCTTCCGGTTGTTTCCATGGCCGGGAACACCAAAAAAAGGCCGCCCATGTTTGATTTCCCAACAAACCCAAACCACCACCCAAATGGAACCCGTCTTCACCCCACCCCACCCCCACCCCGCCACCCACCGCCTTCGCGGTGCTGGTGGTTGCCCTCTTCTTTGAAGGACTCCGCTTGACGCAGCTGCTCGAGCGCCATGGCTCCGGGGGTTTCGGGGGGGCTCCCCCGGGGTGGGGAGTGATGCTCTGGGGGCTCTGGGAACGGACCTGGAAACCAACGGATTGACGTGGGACCTTGACCAAATGTGTGGGAACAAGGGAAAACCAGAATCTCAGAACATGAAGCTGGTCGGACCTTAGCAAAGTGGATCTTATAGTTAATGATACCCGCACAGAAGCAGTCCGTTGCCTGTGCCAGGTTCGCATCTTGATGTAGAGCATGGCATCACTCCGGCAATCTTACAATGTGGGTAGCTCAATGTGAATGCTCAACTTGGGTGTGTCTTAGGTTGCTTCTCAATGGTTTTCAAGGCAACCCAAGGGACCCATTTAGGGGTTGCCTTCTTGAACACAAACTCATGTTGTTTTTGTACGTGCGCTACTTGCGCTGCAGCTCTTCTGCTTTGGCTGTTAGGTTTGCAGCGGGCAACCTCACGGCGAGGGGACCAGAGCAATGCCCTCCCGAAAATCCAAAGCATTGCATCATGAGGGAAACCATGTGGGCATGTCTTGATAAGGGCACCCGGCAAATGGTTAGTTTCCTTTTGGTTTCTCATTGAAACCACTCCAAAGGGAGTACCCCCAAAACACGCACACACACAGTTTCCTGCGGATGCTCCAAGAAAACCGAAAGGCAGTGGGTACGAAGTGGTTGGACTCGTTGGGGGGGCCCCCCAACGATAACATGGGTATCTATCACCACTGACAATCGAGGGTGTTCCAACCATACAAGTTCCAAACCAGCAAAAAACGCATGCTAAACAGAAAGTCAGAAGTGGATCATGTCAAACCACCAAAAAAGCCAAAAGTGGATCGTGTCAAACCACCAAAAGGCGGTTTCACCAGGAATCCTGCGAAGCACCAGAACTCCTAGCTTCGCCATTGCCCGGGAGCCGGACTCCAGCTGGCCGAGTTGCCGGCCACGTTGATGGTGATACCTTGGCGCTGGTATCTTCTCCCCAGACGCGCCAAACCTGGAGCAAGGCCTTCCAAAACTCTAGGGGTACCTTCCGTTTCTATTCTTTCCAAGGATCCGCATCTTTCTAGAAAACCTCCGGAAACCCAGGAAAAATCGCTCTCTTTTTTGAAAATAACGATGGTTGAAAAGAATTCGGAATCAGCCCCTGGACAAACCGGGGCGCCATACATTTCCCCTAAGATTACCCTGCAGCACCCTAAATGGGCTCGAATGATGTTTGACACCACGGCCCGCAACAAGGTGTTCCCAAGAAAACCGCAATGGTTTTGAGAAATGCCAAGCTCAGATCAGTCCATCAATTCGGAGCTCCAGCCAAGAAGTCTTCCCCCCCCCGTTCCGGTGCTTGTTTGGTTGTCTTGCTTTCTTGCTTGCTTTCGTCCTCGCTTCTTTGTCTCTCTGCGTGTTCAATACAAGCCGAATTCAGAATTGATGGTATATCTCAAAGGTTACACGGTTTGGGATGAAGGGAAGAATGAAGGAGACTCGCCGTGTCTGGTCGCTGCGTATGTCTAGGCCAGCTTCGAAAAATGAGGCCACAGACTCTCGAGTCGAGTTCCTAGGTGAGTTTCAAGTCGAAGAGGGGTTCCCTTTATGTTTCAAGCACCCCAACAGGAAACACGCTTGTGAAGTTAGCTCAAGAGGTGATTCAAATAGTTGGGGTACATTTGGGGGAGAAGTTGTAGGAAAACTATATTGTGCACAGGTTTGGGCAAAAAAGAACACTTACTGTTCTCCTGCAACCCAACCTCTGAGTGATGACAAACGCACCCTATGCGCCAAAAGTCTAAGCCAAGAGACACATACGTCCTCCTCAAACCCACCAGCAAAGAATCAATTGGGCGGAGGCACCTATTTTATGGTTGAGTCCGTCCCGTAACCTCTCAACCAGTTCTTGAGGGCTTACATTGGGGCACAAAGACATTGCCCCATCTGGCAATGGCCGCTGTGCAAAAAACCAACAAAATGCACAAAGCCTAAGCAATGACCTTCTCATGTGCATTCCCAGACAAATGCATTTCCATGAGCGAAACTGCAGTTTACGTGATTCAGCCATGCGGATACGGAACGCGGAGGATCCCAAACAAACGCTGGCAGAAATGCAAAGTACACGCAACCATGGGCAGCACAAAGACAATCACAGGCATAAACGCAGGCGCACAAACAGACCCATACACTCCCAACCACCCACACACACACACACACACACACACACACACGCACAGCCACATAATGACAAGCACAAAAACATGCAAACACAACGTGCGCACACACACAGACCAAAAAAGCAAACACAGCCACAAACACAAACCATAACAGCACCACAAACAGAAGCACAAGCACACAAACAAGCATAAGCGCACAAGCACAGGCATAAGCGCCAGCATGCACGCACGCAAGGAAACAGAGGGGAGATGCCGTTTTGCTAGGCACTGGGTGCCCGGTCTTTGGTCACTGGAGCAGCCCGGACTGCAAGTCCTGGCCGGGTTGAGGCCCTCTTCGTGGGCCTCTTCGTGGGCCTGGGAACCTCAGACGTAAACTTTACATGGGCTGAGTACATGGTGAATGGGGGAAAGTGGTGGAGCTTGGGGGGGGAGTGGGGCGAGTTTCTGCTGTGCTTAGGCTTGGTTGGTTGTTTTACGGGTTTGGGCTGAGTAAATGGGCCAGGGCTTACTTCGTATTGTAAATTGGCACCACCAGACTCCCCCCCCCTCCTTCCACTCCTTCCATGTGGGTCAAAGTCTCCCTACCGGCGGTCACTTCACAAACCATTTGTAGCCACTCGGCGGTCCTGGACATGGTCGTCTTTTTTGAGGTCGCCCGTTCACCTGGTTTGAAGGAAAACCTTGAAGGGACGTCATCATTCTAGTCCGGGAATCCCTCATAGCCAAATACAGCTTACTTCATCCTAGCTAGACTCCATTTGGGGAAGCCCCCCGGCCCAAAACCCACCAAACCCACAGAGGATCTCTCTCTTGACTTCTCGGCTGCCGGGCGAGACGTCATAGCTCAGCACGCCCATGGCGCAGGAGAGCTCGAAGTTCCCGGTGTAGCTGCTGTTCACCGTGCTGCAGGCCTCCCACTCGGTTGCGAAATCTGCTCCCCTGCTAAAAGTTCAACTTTTAGTGGTTTAATACGGAAAACCCATGGGTTGACAAAAAGTTAAAGTCCTAACATCCAAGCAAAATGCGCCAAAATCATGAGGGACCCCCAAAATCATGAGTTTTGCTTTGGCTTCCCAGTGCGTGTGAGTAGCTGCAGCCCTTGAGAGCCGGTTGCCCCGGTGCATGCCCCCATGCGTGGTAGCTGTGATTGGAGCCATCGAGGAATCGGTGTACTTACCCAACAACGGCAACCCCAACAAGGGTACCCTCAAAAACATGGGACCTGGAGCCCCCTTTTGGCTGATGCTCAAAGGGAAACCAACCGTTGAAAGACACCACAGTTCCAAGCCAGGTCTAAACGTATGAGCAACCAACCGGAACCTAGCCTCCAAAGAGCAAAAGGTGGGCCAAGACGTGTGCATCCGTCCCTCAGAACCAAACGCTACAATTGGCATAGACAAGGGAGCCTGGCCGCCCTGCAGTTTGGCTTTGGTTGAGACCAGCCCACTATTTTTGAGCCGGTCTTTGGACCAAGGTACATACAGGCCGCTGATATTTCCCCTTCCAAGAACAACCCCACCCGAGCGAAACTAAATCATATAGTAGCTAGGTCCTATAAGGGCACCCTTTTTTTGTAGTCTGCTTTAGGAGTCCCCCAAAAAAGGGTAAAAGGGCACTACTGGGGGACTTGGGTAGGCCCAGGTGATGTTTCAATCACAGGAACATCCAAGGACCTGCGACACAACCTGTGAAGTTGACTCCGAAGGCGCCTGAGTGGACACGGTTCCAGAAGCCATGCTGTCAGGGGTGATGGTGGCGGTGGTACTTCCCACCTTGGAATGGCCAGCAAGAGCCAGCTGATGTCCCTATTACCCTCCCACGAACTCTAAGAGGAACATGGTCTTCCAGGACCTGCCTGTCAGGTTCCATGTTAATTGGTGGGAGGGGCCAGGGGGCCAGGCCAAACCAAAAGTTGGCCATGCGCTTCCTATGGCTCCCATTGAGAGGCTTGCCTTCAACCGCATCTCACACATTGCGCTCCAGGCTTGCGACACACGCACCTCCAGGTCAGGGCGTGTCCGGACAAACCACTCACCTACTAAGAGCCTTCAGCCTCGAAAAATCTCTTCTGGGCAAGTTACTCTAAATCCCAAGCCGGGTGTTAAGGGGCACCTCGCCGTGAACCTTCATGAGCTCATGATAACCTGCCGCGGTCTCTTGATCAGTCTTGAACTCCACCCAACTCCTCCCAGCTTTGCCCACTTTGGGGGGTCACAAGCCACACAATCAATGTGTATATATTACATATACATATATTACATTGAGTAACTTCATCACCACATGCAAGTAAAACCACATGCAAGTAAAAGCATATCATCATTTCCTGCCTACCCCCTCCCCCTTCCGCCCCGGCCCACACACACACACATGCTGAGGGCAGCAGCCGTGACATCCACCGGACTGCTGCAGCCCTGCGGCCTGCGCTTCTCCAGGCTTGGGCGCGAGAAACGCGTGGCTTCCTCTTGGTGGTCACCCCCTTCATTTCTTGGTTGCTGGCGAGACCCCCCTGCAAAAAGCTGTTCACTTTTTTTCGGATAGTGCCCGCGGATGTGGCGCGGAAACTTTTGGGGCCTTGCCCTGCACCACCACCCCCCCCCCCCGGCTGTGCCAGGGTCGCGGTTCCCCCCCAGCTGCCCGAAGGGGGGGGGGGTCCACCACCACCCCCCCCCCCTACGTGTCTGAGGGGTGGTTTAGGGCTTAGGTTTAGGGTTGGTTTAGGGCTGATTTAGGCTGGTGTAGGTTTAGGGCTGGTTTAGGGTGGCTTTAGGGTTGGTTTAGGGTTGGTTTAGGGCTGGTTTAGGGCTGGTTTAGGGCTGGTTTAGGGTTGATTTAAGGTTG